CGGTGGGGCTGCTGGAAGCTGTGGTCAGTCCACAGCTCGGGAGGGAGGAGCCCACACTGGAATTGGTGATGCTGTATGGGTGGTCCCCATGACCAGTGAAGCTGGTCCTCAGGTTGGATGTGTCGCCCCTACGCATGCTTCAAGTCTTTCTTCCATGCCTTGCTGGGAGCTAGAGAACGTCTGGGGGCTCAAGAATGTGAGACACGTCCCCTCCCACGAATGTACAGCCCAGCATCCAAGACCAGGAGTCACAGGATGGTTTGGAAAGTGGCCTGGCATTACCTGAATCTCAACTTTCAAAGCGGCTGGGGGAGTCACTACTTACCTGATAGGATAAACGTTACCCAAACCAGAAATGGGTTTATTGTCAGCCTTTTGTTCCCTGTCTCAATCCAGCCACGGCACCAGCCCATGAAGCTGCATCACTGGGACCTCGGGCAGCAGCTCGGTCACAGGGACTTGAGAGCACCACGAAATGAAAGAATGATGCCCCGGGCCCAGCCCTGCCTACCTTGTTCTCCCTTCTTGACCTCCGCCCTCAAGGGAAATCAGAATGGGGAAGGTTGACAGGTTGACCAGGTGGGCTGGGAGAGAGAACAGGAAGGGACTGGCAGAGGAGGGCAATCCCACGGCCGATATCCCTGCAGGGAGACCTTAGCTGCTGCACTGAAGGGACCCACAGGGACCTGGGCCCAGGATGGCAAAAGCTGGGAGTGTGTGGGAGAGCCCTGGGCCTCCCTAGACAAGACCTACCGCTCTGAATGGGTTCAAGCCAACACCGAAGGCCGACACTGTGCCCTTGACGTCTGTTTCTTTTATGCTTGTGATATAAAATTTATTTTAAAATAATTGTAAGATAAAAAGACAGCCAGCTTAAAGAAAAAGAAATTTAAATAAAACACTGGCTCAGAAAAGAAATGGCTGTTTGTCTAATGCAAATTAGTAACCAGACAAGAGCAAGGCTGGTCACTCGCTCGTGATGGAGCAGGCTCTCTGAGTGGCTGGGAACCGTTTCCATCTTGTTGACAAACACATGTTGCAAGGCAGGAAATTACCCTCCTCAGTGCCTATTTTATCTCTGTTTAATTGCTGTTTGATAATAAATTACAACATAGAGTCCATTAATTAAACTAACAATGTCTGTGGAACACCAATTCCTTCTTCTGGGAGTTGCCTTGTTACGGGAGCTTTGATTCAGTTTGTTTGCCCAACAGCACTTTATGAAGTGGTTTAAAAAGATGCCAAGGCACGTGACTGGTGGGGCAACACTCCTAGCCTAGGGGGAGCGGGTTTGGGCAGGAGGGGGAGGAAACCTTGGCGAGCGTGAGGAAGGGCAGCCTGGCAGCCAGAGAGCAGTACCAAGGATGCACTCTAATTCAGAACATGTGGTGGAAGAGAAAAAAACCAAAATGAAACATTAGGTCTACTTTCAGAAAATCAGCTGCTGGACAACGACCACGGTCCCCACTTACAGGAATTCATCGTAGAGTTGGGGGGCGGGGGAGCAAAGACCAGCCTGATCTGGTTTGCCATTCCATCATCAACTAAATGGAAGGAGAATTCATTTGGAAAAGTTCTGCATGCAGGTGGAATGGGTGAACGATGAATTCTAGATATTTCCCAACAAAGCCCCCTGTACTGGGCTGTGAAGGCCACCAGCTCCCAGCAGGAGAGGAGAACTTGGTGCCCGGCTCCTGTCCTGGCAGGGAGTAGGCAGGTAGTCACCAGGGCAAAGACGCTCCTAACATTTCACCTGTGCTGTCTGGAAGGTAGGCTACCTGGGCATTCCAGCTGGATGGGTTTAGCAGGTGACCAGGTGGGACCTTGAGGGAGGAGATGCAACACGAGTAAAGGCTCTGGACAGAAGGGGTTGGAAGGTCAAGTTCTCAGGGAACTGCCCCACACCGTTTGGAGATGTGGGCATCACAAGGGTGTCAGACCGGGGTTCTGAGCAGTCAGGGTACATGGGGAGGGCAGGGGGCCCTGGGAGGAGGTGGCTGCAGGGCTATGAAAGGCAGATGCAGCAGCCTTCATGTCCTGGCCCTCAGGTTCAGCCAAAAACTTCCTGAGTGGCTTAGAAAACCTTCCCCTGAAACACCCAGGTAAAAAGGCACTGCTTCGAGCCATAGGAGGAAGCCCTGAGGTCTCTGGGAGACACTTATTGGACCATCTCTACCCCTTTTCTCATTCACAGAAGTTGGCTTCATGGGCTGGTTTTTGACTACGCAAATCCCTGCACGTGATAGTGTCTGCTACCTCACAGTTAATAAGCACTCAGTTCAAATGGGACCTCTTCAGAAGGTCCGACGAGGAAACCTGGGAGTTCAGCGTTCTAAAAGCTACTCCTGGCATTGCCCAAAATGATGCTCACGTACAGCATGGTGGCCCAGAAGTGGGCATCTCCAAGGCTCAGTGTCCAGGCTCCAGCTGCCCTCCTGGCCCAGTACCACCACGTCACCATCTCCTCTCCCAGCCATCCCGCCCTAGACTAGTGGGGGTGGCTAACTGGCTTGTCATCTGACCTCTCCCAAGACGCAGCCTCTTAAATGGCTGACACAACCATCTCCTTCAGGCCACAACTCCCCACCTCCATTTCCCCGGCCACCAAGACTTTTAGGGTACTTTACTCCTCCAGACCCTGGGAGGGAAGAACTGGAGAGTCAGTAGGGACTGAAGGTCAGGATGGCTCCAGAGCGTCCATCCCTCTCTGAACTCCTCCAGGACTGGCTGTGCCTGATCTAAACATATCATTAGGGCTTCCCTGGTGGCGCAGTGGTTGAGAGTCCGCCTGCCGATGCAGGGGACATGGGTTCATGCCCTGGTCTGGGAAGATCCCACACGCCATGGAGCGGCTGGGCCCGTGAGCCATGGCCGCTGAGCCTGCACGTCCGGAGCCTGTGCTCCGCAACGGGAGAGGCCACAACAGTGAGAGGCCCACGTACCGCAAAAAAAATTAAATAAATAAATAAATAAATAAACATATCATTACCACACTGCCCCCCACCACAGCAGCAGATGAACCTTCAAGGGCTCCCCAGTGCCCGCAGGGTCAAGTCTCAAACTCTCCAGGACAGCATCCTCGCATCACTGGGAACTTGTTAGAAATGCAATATCTCAGCGCCCCCCACTCCCCCCCGACTCAGAAACTCTGAGGTTGGGGCCCAGGAGCTGGTGCTGTCATAAGCCTTCCAGATGATTCTGCTGCACACTGACGTGTGAGACCCAGTGCCTTGGAACATGTCTTATGAGGTCTTGGAGAGCCGCCTCTCCATCTCTCTTCTGCCTCATCTCAGCACGTCTTTCCCTCTTGTATTCTACGCCCTGGCCAAACTGGGCCACCTCTGCCTCTTAGCACCCAGCATCCCCGGCTATCTCACTCTTCTCACATCTTCTACGCTGTAGGTTTCCTGGTCTTTCCTCCTCTAGTCTAAACCGCTTGAGAGCAGGGGCTGTATCTTATCAACTGCCAAATACGTCGTCACCAGTGTCTGCAGTAGGTGCTCAAGACCCATCTGTTGAGGGAAGGAAGAAATGAATGGATGAAGACACTGGGCTCTTCAGTGCATCTTGCCTTTGATGTTAAAGCTCTGTTTCTCCATGGAAGGAAGCAAGTCTAGGCTTCCTGGTCGTTCTTCTACTCCCTGCAGGCACTTTTAGGCAGTGGTAGGGCTCAGGAAATTTTCTGCAATTAAATGGACTGGATTTGAACTTAAAATGCTTGGGTTGTGCTGGAGAGCCTGCTCCAGCACAACCCAAAAGAGCCTGTTCACAGGCACTTGCTCCTCTGTGCCTCAGTTTCCTCATGCTGCCTGCTTGCCTCCTAGAGTGACCGCAAGGAGAAAAGGAGCAAATTCAGCCTGGCGTTACTTGTCCACTTTCAGAGGACACATCACACACTGAAGGGAGCGGAGGGTCTGGATTATGAGAACTACCTGCGGTGATAGGAAAGGAAATACAGCTCTTCTCTTTCCAGATGCTGGCTTAATGGGAAAGCAAAAGTGCTCTGAGCAGAGAGAACCATGAGCCATAAATGCATGCGAGAGTCTGTGTGTATGACCGATGAACGTGAACTTGGCACGTAAGGTGTGTGTCCATAAAACATGAGAGAGATGAAGGGAGCTTACGGGGCATTCTGTCCACTGTCTTCCTTTTATAGATGAACAAACAGAGATTGTGAGTCTGGCTTAGAACCAACCATCTTGTGCTCCTATGGGATTGAATATGTTTTCCCAGTTTGTAGCTTGCCTTTTATTACTATCGGTTGACATAAAATTGGTTCAAACTTTGATGCATGTCAAGTCTAATGACATTTTTGGATATATTTTCTCCCGGTTCTAGAGGATTTCTGCTAAGCTCTTGGTGCACACACCCATATACGCACACACACACACACACACTGAGGGCTAGCACAAAGCTGTCAAAGGAAACTCATTTACCAGGCTCTATTTTTACTCTGTTGGTTGATTGTTTTGCCCTTTTTGGTTATCTTTGCTATCTCCTGGGAGACCAGAAGACACGTGTGTTCTTTGAAATATTACTGCAAGCACATTTCTCCTTCTCAATCAGTGCTTGGCACTTGTACCAGCACTTACAGACCAGGCCATGCTTACCACCAAACTGGTGATGGCCTTTCAGAACAGAGATATCAATCAGATTCTCATGAGAGAAGCTGCTAACTCTTTGAAGTTGTAAACAGGCATATTTGGTTATAATTAAACATATGTACACGTGGCATCCATTTGCCTATTAGCAAATGACACAAATTGTATGCAGTCTCCTTTCAGTAGGAAATGTGCCCATTGATCCTCTTAATATCTGTGTTGATGCTACCACTTGTGAATCTTTTCCCTGGTCTCTATAGAGAAACCACCAGAAAGCCTCTCGGTTGCTCAGAACAGGTAACAATTACCAAAGTAGAGGACAGAAGTTCCCAGAAGTCCTTCAAATCCCCTGTAGGTCCGGTGAACTTACTCCCTTCCTGATCAGAGACGGGATCCTACCTGGGGTCCCCAGCCATGGCACGGGTACAGTATTGCTGTGTGGTTCTCCAGCGGCCCCTGGTCCAAGCAGACGTCTTTTGCCTTGCTGTTGCGAAGCTGCAGGAAGAGGCAAAACATGACCCGTCAGAGCTCATCTGGTGGAGCTACTACTCCCCATCCACTGCTCCACTGTGGCTTGGTTCTGACTTCTTGATGCAAAGGCCATGAGACCCACACCCCCGCCCCCAAGTAAGGACCGAAGCTTCAGTCTGTGAGGTGATCACTTTAGCAACAAAGTCCTCCAGTGGGTGGTGTGGGTACTGGCCCTCTGCCTGTGACCCACACACATGCACATAGCTCCCCCATCCCCAGCACAAAGGAAGATCTCAGAGAACCTTTGGACATAGGAACATTGACTACACATTGGTTATCCAAGTGGACCCCGGTACCAGCACTGGTTTCCACAACCCTGGGAACCACGGGTCAGCTTTTCAGGTCATTACTGGCATAGAGGTATGAAAAATAGTAATCAAAAGAGAAAAAAAAATCTTGCCATCAGGAAAAGCTCAGGCAACATTCATTCATATATTCAAAAAATATTTACTGAATGCATACACTGGACCAGGTACCATTCTAAGTGTTTGGAATGAATCTGTGGAGGAAAAAACTTACCTAAGAACTTACCTGTAAGTTCTTACCTAATTTGGATGTAAGAACTTACCTAATTTGGATCTCCAGGCCCACTGTGATTCTATATTGGTGTCCATCCCACCCACCACCTGAAATCTCAACCAGTGGGAAAATGGCAACATTGTTGGTCTACCCCATACATCTGAGCCCCCTCCAGATTATATTCTCCATGGAAACCAAACTAACCAGGGATAAATCAAGAAGAGAGGCACGGGGCAATCTGCTTTTGCTCACCCAAGTTGTGTCTGCGTTCAGACAACTGAGCAGACTTTTAATAACTTTTTAAAAAAGATTTAAAAAGTAACACCATCTCATTGAGATGTTTTGGAAAATACAGAGGAAAGTAACAATGGTTCACAATCCTCTTACTCAATTTTTTTCCCCAATTTCGGACAATTTAATTTTGTTCCGTTTTGGCTGTAATGAGCAACAAAGCATAAAGCTTTGTTCACGTTTCAGGTTTCCTTAAGAATAGACTCCTAGAACTGAGACCACGGTATCAAAGGGTGTGGAGACCTTAATGTTCTTAAAACATGCTGCCCAACTGCTTTCTGGAAGCTTCGGACTAATTGATATTCCTATCCAGAAGGTATGTAAATACTTAACCAGTCCTGAGTTTCACCATTTAAAAGTATTGTGTTGATCAAAGTGTACAAACTTCTAGTTATAAGATGAGTAAGTTCTGGGCATCTATGTACAGCATGGTAATTATAACTGACAATATTGATAGCAACATACTTGACAGTTGCTAAGTGAGCAGATCTTAAATGTTCTCACCACAAAAAAGAAACGGTAATTATGTGGCATGTTAGCTAATGCTATGGTGGTCATCATTTTGCAATATATAAGTGCATCAAATCAACAAGTTGTACAGCTTAAACTTATAAATGTTATATGTCAATTATATCTCAAAGCTGGACAGAGAGAAAGAAAAAGAACATCAGCTTGGGAAAAAAAATCAATGGGGGAGAGTTCTTTTGTGTGTGTGTGTGTGTGTGTGTGTGTGTGTGTGTGAGCTACAAGTTTCAAGCCAGAGGAAAAGCAGCTTCTGATACCTATCACCCCTTTTCTCTTGGAAACCAATTCCTTATATTAAATCCCATGTTTGAAATACCTAGGATAGATTCTCTTTTTCTTTCTTTCTTTCTTTCTCTTTTCTTTCCTTCTTTCCTTCTTTCCTTTTTTCTTTCTTTCTTTCCTTTCTTTCTTCCTTCCTTCCTTTCTTTCTTTCTCCCCTCCTTCCTTCCTTCCCTGTAGCATTCTTTTTATTTATTTATTTATTTATTTATTTATTTTTTGCGGTACGCGGGCCTCTCGCTGTTGTGGCCTCTCCCGTCCCGGAGCACAGGCTCCGGACGCGCAGGCTCAGCGGCCATGGCTCACGGGCCCAGCTGCTCCGCAGCATGTGGGATCCTCCTGGACCGGGGCACGAACCTGCGTCCCCTGCATCGGCAGGCGGACTCTCAACCACTGTGCCACCAGGGTAGCCCCGAGGCATTCTTTTTAAACCCAAGGTTCCAAAAGTCCATAAAGAGGGATGTAGAGAGAAGTGATGAATCAGACCTATTAAACAAAATTCCCAAAGTTGGTGCAAAGAGAGCTATCTTTAAAGAATTGCAAAGCTAGCTTAGGAGACAGCACTATGACTTTAGTTCTTTTATAGATGCTTTAAGGAAATGCTTGTTGCCAGTGCTTTCGATGGTGCAAAGATTAATTACATGGAAAAGCCCAGACAACTTCTGAGTCAAAAAGTAATTCAGAAGAGTTAGATTTTTGAAAGTGATGAAATTTTAGAAATACCTTTACCAATGTATCTTGGTTTTATTTTTCTTTTTATGTATACATAAGAGCAATATGGTAAAAATGTCTACTGAAGTCTAACAAAGCATTTAAACTAAGTGTAAAATAAAAATTAGAGGTGATAAAAATTAATAAAAAATATTACTGTTTGAGAGAAGACAAAAGATATCCTGTTTTTATAAAGTTATACTAAATAGTAAATTGGAATGCTTCATGTTTAGCAATTATTCCCTTTTTGAGAATTACCTATGTATTTTCCCATTGGGATCTCAAGTGGTTTCATTATAGATTTGTAAGAGCTCTTTACATATTAAGGATATTAATGTTTTTGTGGCATATGTGTTCCATATAATGATTTCAGAAAGCCAGGCTTTTAAATTGTGTTTCTCATGTTTATGCAAGCACATCTCTCATTCAGTAACTTAATAAATCTTTATTGAGGGCCTGGTACTGTGCTAAGTGTAACGAGCACAAAGATAAAAAAAAAAAAAGAGTCCCTGCTCTGAAGCATGGTCTGGAGAGAGAGACAGATACAGGAAGAGCTAGTACAATGACTGAATTATGCCAGGGCAGCAAGGAGCCTGCCTTCACCCCATCTGAGGGCTTCAGAGACTAAGGGGAGATGACTCCTGAGCTAAATGTTAAAGAGGATTAAGTGGAAGAGATGCCGGCAATGTTCTGTTTTTCGCCCGGGGGACGGCTACATGGATTTTTGCTTTATATTATTATGTTGCACATGTTTGGTTTATGCATATTGTATGTGTGTCGTATTTCATATAAATAATGCTAAAAGAAAAAAAAAGATGAGGAAAAGTGAACTAGGGAGCAAAAGCTTTTCAGTATGAGCCTAGCACAGAATTTTGAACAGAAGAGTTGGTGGCTAATGTTTCTGTACACACTGAAGTGCTTTTGCATTGGAAAGGCAACATCTTACACATGTAAGAGTCAGGACATAAAGTATTTGCATATATTTTAAAATTTTTGTCTTTTTATTGAAGTATAGTTAATTTACAATGTTGTGTTAGTTTTTGGTGTACAGCAAAGTGATTCAGTTATATATGTGTGTGTGTGTGTGTGTATCTTCTCTCTATATATTTATATATATATTCTTTTTCATATTCTTTCCCTTTATAGTTTATTACAAGATATTGAATATAGTTCTCTGTGTTATACAGTAGGACCTTGTTGTTTACTCTATATGTAGTAGTTAGTATCTGCAAATCCCCAACTCCTACTTTATCCCTCCCTGCATATCTTTCTTTAAAAATTAATTTAAGACATTCCAGCTAATAGAGCAGAATAAAAATTTACAACTCAAGGAAGAATGACTTATTATCTAAGTGGGTGTGGGCCCCAACATTGCTTGTAGGGTGAGTCAGAAACACCAGGGGCTGACACCTGCTCAGAGGTGTCTGTCTCCCTTTGCCTCTGTGCTGGGGTCTGGTGTGGCAAAAAGAACTAGTAGCAATGAGCATTAAAATACAATTGTCTGAATAATGGTAAATTCTGTCACCGAACTGCATTTGACTAAAAAGTGATTCTTCAAGAAGGTATAAAGTGCAAATAAGTATAATAATGTTTGAGTTTTAACATTCCACATAATATTAACAAAAGACTGAAAATTAACATCAACCGATGAAGAGGTCAGTAAAAGTTCTTGTATTACATACCACTTGACCCTTCATTTTGGAGGCTCAGAGATTAATTAAAAAAAAAATTAGAGGATACCAAAATGTAATTATAAGAACAGGGCATATACAGTGCACATGATGAGAAAGCTTTTTAAAAGCCCCCAAACAAGCTAGCCAAAACATGAAGAAAGAGCAAGGAGCATTAAAACCAGAAATACTCACTGGCCTGGGGAAAAACTCCCAAACAGAATTGTACATGAAGAACAAAGGCTAGAAAGTACTCATATAGTGTGATATTCACTCTGCCTTCCTCTTTTTCCCACTGCTCTGGGGTCTGGGTGTGGTAAAAATAACCCACAGGAGTGTTAAAAACAGAGTTGTCTAAATAATGCTAGATTTTGTTACCAAACTGAATTTGATTCAGTTTGGTTTCTTCCATTTAATACTAGAGTCCACCTGAAATACATTTCAGTATATGGTGAGCTCAGCAAGCAGAGAAGGAGTAAGAGAAACCAATAGCCTAACATGTTAACATCGATCATAGCTGGGAATTGAGATTTTTTTAAAAATTATTTATTTATTTATTTACTTTTGGCTGCCTTGGGTCTTCGTTGCTGTGTGCAGACTTCTCATTGCGGTGGCTTCTCTTGTTGCGGAGCATGGGCTCTAGGCACGCAGGCTTCAGTAGTTGTGGCACATGGGCTCAGCAGTTGTGGTTCGTGGGCTCTAGAGCGCAGGGTCAATAGTTGTGGCGCACGGGCTTAGTTGCTCCATGGCATGTGGGATCTTCCCACACCAGGGCTTGAACCCGTGTCCCCTGCATTGGCAGGCGGATTCTTAACCACTGCGCCATGGGGGATATCCCGGGAATTGGGATTTGACGTAAGTTTTATCTTTTTGTTTTCTATGTAATGTTCGTGTTGAATTTATTACTTTAAAAAGACAGGAAAATTTGCAAAAGCAAAAGGCTTCCCCCCTCCAAAAATCAGATTATGATCTCTATGTTATCTCCAAGGCCACTCCACCCTTCAGCTCCACAGCTGTCGTTTACACTGTGCTTCATGTGAAGGGCAGGCCCTGGAGTTATGCAGTCCACAGCCTGGGGAACTGTGCCCTGGACTTCTGGCATTTTCTCCTTTTTATTCTTTCTCTTTGCAAAGGTATTTTTCTTCATTTATAAAATCATCACATAAACATTAGTGACACTTGGGAAAACATGATAAACAGTTCCACATAAGAACTGTCTGTCCCACTACGTAGAAGTTTCACCTCCCAATACTATTCTCTTGCTTACTTCCGATCTAAAATGGTAGCTCATCTAATTTTATAATCCTGACTTTTTCCTCTTAAGTCTTATATTATCCATATTTTTCTCACATCATTAAACTTTTGTATACACCTTTTGAAATGGCTGCAAACTACTGCAAACCATTAATACAGTATATTTAACTAACCTTCAAGTTAAATTCAAATTTTTGATCAAGGAAAAAATAAATCCCCGAGGTGAACAATTTTACTCGCAAATCTTTGTCCTCATTTCAGATTATTTGCTTGGGATAAGAGTGGAGAGGAAAGTATGACTATCATTAAGCCTTTTAATACAGGTGGTTCAAACCGCTTTTTAAAAAGCTTGTTTCAATTTGCACTCTCACCAGAGGACCTGTGCTTTTTCATTTTACTAAGATCTCGCTGGCAAAGTACCAACATATAGTCCAAAATTGAACCTTTGTTCATTTGGTAGAAGGAAAAAAGCTACCTCAGTGTATTTTAAATTTTAATTTCTTTGATTATGAAATAAATATAAAATTTTCATCCATTTGTATGTTCTCTTGTGCTTTGTCTATTTTTCTCTGGGGATGTTTTATTTTCTTATTTAAATCAAAATTTTTATTTAAGTCAGTTCACAGAATTCATTATACATTAATGGCATTACCCACTCATCTACAGTATTTATGACATACAGATTTCCAGCTTGGGATATTATTTCTCCATTCAGTTGATATATAGATTATTTTAATATTTACGAGCTCATATCAAATATCGTTTTTCTTTGCATCTTCTTCCATAGCTTTCATTCTTAGAGAGCCCATCCCCAGAGTTCAGATTCATATCTATTTCCGGATGGTTCGATTATGGCTTCTTTTCTTTCATTTAATGCTATAGTCCTTCTGAAATATACTTGGGGATATGATATGCTGTAAAAATCTAAGTTGTTCTCTTTTCCAAAGAGCTGGGCAATTTACCCAATTGTCTTACAAATAATCCATTTACTGCCCACTGTTTTTCGATGCCTCCTTTATATATGATCTTTGAAAACCAAAAACAAAGAGAAACATGTGGACCTATTAATAAGTAGTAGGACGTACCAGGTACTGGTCTAAGAACTCTATATATGGCGGCTTGTTTCATCTTCCCAACAGCCCCACGCGGTAGGTACTTTCACTTCCCCATTTTACAGATGAGGGGACAGAAGCTGAAAGGAGCCACTTGGACTTGAATCCAGCAGGCTGGCTCCAGAATCTTCACGAGTCCTTAACCACTACACTCACTGCCCCTGCAAGAAGCAAGCTCCCCATCCAGGCTCCAGCCCCAAAGGGACACTTCGCCTGCACCTTGATGATTTAACCTGGGGCTGATTTACTCCCTACAAAAGGCTTCTCGCATAAAATAGAAAAATTCACAGTTGTAGAAAAAGGAAACACTCTTAAGTCCATGAGAGTCTTCCTAGCTTCAGCCTGATTGTCACGGGGAGTTCCAGGGAGCCCTGGGAAGAAATCCAAATGCCAGAAGTAGTGGGGTATCTCTGGTGGGTCCAGAGCACCGGGCTCCCTGAGCCCTGACCAGAATCTGTGACACCGATTCCTCATCCAAACACACAGGGATGTAACAGGGAAGATGCCCAAGTGCTTATACACATGCATGTTCTCAGCAGTGCTGCTTATAATATTTTTTTAAAAAAAGGGAACAACAGAAATGTCTATGTTTTCAAGCAAAACACAGCATACACAAAAGGTACCATTTTATACAGCCATTAATAATGTTGCAGAAAAAGGCTTAACACAGGAAAATATTCTCTATTATTAGTAACATTTCAAATTATTAGGCATTGTGGACAGCCTGGTTTTAGTTTCAAATATCTATATACATCTATACCCATATCTATATCCATAGAGAGGTGTATATAAAAAGTATAGTATGTATATAAAAACTATATTTTTAGTAAAAAGAAATACACACACACACACAATAAAGCAGACCATACATCCAAATGTACTTTATCTTTGGAATTAGAATGCTTACGTCTAATCCTGGCTTCATGACTTACAAGCTGTGAGACCTTAGATAATGTATTTCTTGTCTCTAACTCTCAGCGTTCCTATCAATAAAATGGAAATAACACTACTGCCTGGTAAAGTGAGGGTGACTGAACACATATGTGAAAAGCACTTAGAACAGTACCGGCACATTGTAAGTGTTCATTGCTATTATCGCTATATTCAAACTTTTCTAAAATGCAGGTTTATGGCATTTGTACTAAGAGAAAAGTCAATCTGTTTCAATATTCAGAAAGGTGCCATCAGAGAAAATCTGAGAACAGCAGCCGTACCCTTTCTTTGGCAGTTAAGTGGCTCTGGCCCACGGCACTGGGCAGTGGACAGACAGGTCCAGTCCCCGCCTCTCTTTACACCCAACTTCCTGCTCAATGTCCCAGGTACAGGTCCCAGGGGACCTCAGAATGTCCTAAACAGAACTCATGGTCCACTCCACACTCCACACCGCCCACGCCCCCATTGATTACAGGTATCCCCCCACCAGCCGGTGAGAGCCTTGCTGTCAAAGCCTGCACCTCCAAAAACTAATCATTGAATGAATGAATGAATGAATGACCGAACGACTCTGTTCCCTGTTTTCCCCCAGCAAAGCAATCCACAGCCCACCGCACAGCCATCCAAGCCGAGAGCAAGCGTGGTCTTAATTACCTCCCCGTAGGCAATGGTGTTATTGTATCTTCTCATTTCTGGGTAGACGTGGTCTAGGTACCACTGGAAATTCTTACACTTTAAACTTTTCCTTAAGGCTTTTCTTTCTGAGACATCGCCTATGTCAATTCCTGGATTCTGAAAGTAAGCAAAGGGCATTAGTGACCAGGGGGCGCTGGCCAGACTGGAGGACAGGCAGCGTCACCTTTGGGGAAACCATCAGAGAGAAATCTGAAGCCCCTACTTGATCATCTAGCCCCGAGCTAGACAATACTGTCCCCCGAGCGCAGCACGCAACCCCCAAAGTCAGCCGACCTTACCATCATGAAAGGGATCCCGCGACACACTGATATTGACAACCTAGGCCCCATCTCCATCTCTGCCATTTCTTCAGTGACTCTCAGGACCCAATTATTAGAGGAATTACTTGATTAAGGCGAGAAAATAAACATCTATAACCTCCTCCCATCTTTCTTTTCCGTACACGTGTAATTTCCCCCCTTTGCTGGCTCTTTGCGAAGTTCATTATATGCAGATGTGAAAATAATTTTCCACTGCAAAGCTTGTAATGATGCTCTAATGAATAATTCACTCTGCTTTTACAGAAGTGAACCTGTAATGTGCTGCTGCGTGCTGACAGGGGAAAATAAAGTAGCTGAAATACGATTCCAGAGTCAGCCACAGGATGGCTGTGACCCAGTGCAGACAGGATACGCTCTCCTCCACGGCGGACAGCCAAGCATCATCTTGGAGCAGGAGAAGTGTTTAAATGATTTCATTAAGATTTCTTCTTCAGCAGCTAAACAGTGATTTTTTTTTTAAAGAAAAGTCCCTTTAAATGTCAAACATTAATATCCAAAGGCAAACCTGGGCAGTGATATTTAACTCTTTGTTTTAATATCCTTGGCGTGATTAATGAGGATGGTCATTTATGAAAAGCCTGGTGGGGAACACTGGCATGAGGGACCGAGGTGGTTTGTAATGATGGAGAAGCACTGAGATAGGGTTGGCAGCCCTCACTTCTTCGGACCCCGAGTCACACCCCCATCCTAGATCACAACTCTCCTCTGCAAACAAGAAAAATGACAACGTCTCTTCCACTGATGTCACAGGGCTGTGGGCAGAGCTGAGTGAAGGTGCCAGCTCACATCCTTGCCCTGCCATGTGCTGGGTGTAGGACCTTAAGCAAGTCAATTTAACTTGCCAGAGCTGCAGTTAACTCATCTGTAAAATGGACATCACAGTGGGTTCATATCAAGCTAGCATTTATTGAGCACTTACTATTTGTTATGCTCTGTCTTAAGCCTCATTTTTATCCTTCCAGGAGCCCTATGAGACCAGGGTTAACAATCTCTGGTTTACAGATGACAACACCAGGGCAGGCAGTTCCTCTGTCATGAGGTTGTTATAAGGGCTAAATGAAATATTGCAAATAAGAAACTTAGCGAGTACCTGGGAGAGTGTAAGGAGCTCAACAAAGGTTGCCTATTTTTATATAATAATGTGGAAAATCACTTCTAGTTTAACAGCTATAAAGTGCTGCATGGCCATAAGGGGGTTTTCAGTGCTTTAGACCATGATTTCAATAATTGTAACAACAATGATATAAAAATGCTTCACTTTCATCCTCTTTATCCACAAACCCGCACATATTCAACTGCATTTCTGCTGTCCTGGGCTCCAGCCTCCTGAAACGCAGGGGCTGCCACTTCTCAGTGGGAACAATGCCACAGCTCGGACACCTACAGGTACTCTGGCTGAACAGATAGACCCGACTGTGGCTGAGGGTATAGGTCACCCCGCTGTGCTCTGGAGGACAGAAATGCTTGCCAACATTCCATATCCTGTGCTTTAAGTACATCACATGTGCTTAGTTTTAGTACTTTAGTACTTAGATTAAGTACTTCTGATTTAGTTCTCACAATCAACCTAGGAAGGAGGACCTGCTATTATCCCCATTTTGTAGCTGAGGAACCTAAGATACAGAGATGATAAGTAGATTTGTTCAGGATGTCATAACCGTAAAGGGCAGGGCTGGGATCCCAACCAAGCCAGAGCACAACCGCCATGCAATACTCCTGTGGGGCTGTAGTAACATGGTGATTTTCCGAGATTATATTCTGGGTAGAATATGGAAGAGAATCGAAGAGCCAAGTAAACAAGGATCCAGCATACAGCAGGGACATACGTCACAGGGCAGCTGGAGCTCCACGGGAGGGCACACTGTGAGAGCAGACGGCAGGGTCTGGTGCCAAAAACTTTGGGCAAGGATCTTCTGGACACGGTGTACATTCAGAAGCAGGGTGTCAAGATTAATATGAGACCAGAATTAACACGGTGAGACCCCTCTAATCTCTGTAAATGGATCTAGAGATTTCCATGGTGCCGATCCCCATGTAAAGCAGGGGTTCTAAAACCTGGAGGTCTGTAAGCCATGTCAGAGTGCACTTATAATTTTGCAAGGGTGAGCATCTTTCTGGGGAGGAACCACTGGCTTAGTAAAGGGATCAGTGACCCATCAAACATAATGTCAGTGTTCTAGGGTGATTGGGGAAGGGCTATTTGGTCCTACCTCCAGTGGCAGATTCCACGCTATGTACACATGAGACTTGTAATCGTCCATCCAGACCTCGGCAACCCGGAGAGCATTCCTCTTGGTATAGAAGCCGATGTTGCTGTTGTATGGCTTCTTCTTCCGCTCGATGTGGGCCACCCGTGAGCAAGGCAGGACCTCCATGCTGCCCCCGCACAGCCACACCTGGGGAGGGGAGGCAAGGACTTCATCAGCCTGACAGAGAAATTCCCAGAAGCCACTGCTCCCTCCCCCAGGCCCGAAAGCAATGGTTCAGGAGACAGCCTGAGTGAGAAATGTGTTTTCACATATAAAGCCACTGAGCTTTCGGGGTTGGTCTGTTACTGCAGCATAGCCTAACCTCACCTGACTAAAACTGGTAGAAAAGATGGTTTCGGGGAGCTTTTCATAGATACAGCAGCTCAGGATATTAAAATGCAGCTCTTCCTAAGAAACGCCAATACATGTGATGTGCTCCTGGTGACGCATGGGTTTTCTTAAGTTCTCAGTGGTGCACAATTGTCACCTGTGAAGGTTTTATTTCCCATCTGGCTGAAGCTGGGCCCTACGGAGCTATAATGGCAAATTCAAACTAAAAAAACAGAATATCTTTATTCGTATCAGCACAAAGTGTACAACGGTTTAATTCTCCATTTACTAATATGCTCTGTTTTGGAGTCCTAAGAGCACAGACGCCGGGCCTTCTGGAAGCATCCACCCCAATGCCATCATGTGCAGGTGGTACTTGTTGCTAGAATATTTAAGTGGAAGGCTGAAATGTTAATTGCCTCTAAGGGATGCAAAAGCCCAAGGAAGTGACAACTTGCCATCCTCTTGCAGGAGCATGGCAGGCTTCCAGGCTCAAAAGGCCCTGTCCCAGAGGAAAACAGGACCACCCAGCTTCTCTCAGTCCCAAGCAGGACAATCAAAGCATTTCTGACTGTCAGGAAGGACTGATTTGTGAATGAATTCCTGGTACTGGTGAGGAGAAGAGGAAGAAGACACAGAGAGGTTTCAGGGACCCTTGAGACAGTCTGTATATTCTCTGTAAATGAGAGTGTGCCGGTGAGCTAACTCAGGTCAGCACAGACCATGTATGCTCATCCCAACCTAGGTCACTTCAAGCCTTTCTACCTTCAGTTTCCCAAACTCCCTCCTCGAGGATACTGGGACCCTCTCGAGTGTTTGCACACCTCCCCTGGGCCTTTATTGACTGAATTTAGTGGCAAATTTGTGTGTGTGTGTGTGTGTGTGTGTGTGTGATCTTCTGTTTCTATTTCCCAACTCTGGCTGCACCACAAGGAAATAATACAGATGGAAACTTCTCCTCATAACCAAGAATCTTCACCTTGCCTGTTTCTTCAAGGAGGAGAATGTGAGCTAAGAGATTGGTAGACAGCAGGTGATCCAGACTAGTTTGATTTGTGACCTGACAACTAGATGCCCCCACGAACTGGGGCAGACTCAGCTGTTGGCAATGGAAGGAAGCCAAGTCAGGGAAGCAAAATATGGCAAAAGGCCTATGGGGGAATAGAGGCAAGAGACCTTACAGGGTAAACGAAGGTGGCTGAATTTCCAGGAGTGGGCAACATACAAACCCACAGAGTTCCATGGGTACGCGGCCCTAGACAGTTTCAGGATTCTGAGAATGAACAGAAAGACATCTCATGTTCACAGATTAGAAGATTTAATACTGTTATGTTAGCAATACTTCCCAAATTGATTTAAATATTCAACACAATTCTTAGCAAAACCCCGAAGTCTTCTTTGCAGAAATTAACAAACTGATCCTAAATTTCATATGGAAATACAAGGGACCCAAAATAACCTTGAAGAGAACAAATTTGGAGGACTTCCACTTCTGGGACAACATGCAAAACAATGAATTTGGACCACTGCCTCACAACATATACAAAAATTAACTCAAAACAGATCAAAAACCTAAATGTAAGAGCCAAAACTATAGAACACTCAGAAGAAAACGGAAGAGTAAAGTTCATGATCTAGGATTAGGCAAAGGTTCATCAACTGATAAAATATGGTATATCCATACGATATTATTTAGCAATAAAAACAAAATACAGACACACGCTACAGCCTGAATGAACCCTGACAACTTACGTAAGTGAAAGAGGCCGGTCACAAAGGACTGTATGTTATTTGATTCCATTTATGTGAAATGTCCAGTAAAAGAAAATCCATAGAGACAGAAAGTAAGTTGATGGTTGCCTAGGGCTGAGGGTGGGGTCAGAGGAATAGAATGACTGCTAGCGGGTATGGGTTTCTTTTTAGGGTGATGAAAATGTTCTCATAACGATAGTGGCGAATACTGCACAACTCCTGAATATACTAAAAACCATTGAGTTGTACACATTAAATGGGCAAGCTATAGTAGTATGTGACTATCTCAACAAAGCTGTGACAAAAATAGATAAATAAATAAATACACAGAGAGATGGGAAAAAGAAGATTCAAGGGATGGATTCCAGTTTGGGGAGGCTCCGGGGAACTGGAAAAAGCAAAGCAGAGCTTGGTGAGGATCTCAGATGGTTGACTTCTTTCACTTAGCATCGTGTTTTCAAGTTTTACCCATGTTGTAACAAATATCATTACTGCATTCCTTTTCATAGTAGAATACGATTCCAGTGTATGGATGTCCTACATTTTGTTTATACATTGATCAGTTGATGGACACGTGGGTTGTTTCCATTTTGGCTATTACAAATAACCCTGCTATGAGCATTCATATGCAAGTTTTTATATGGATATACGTTATCATTTCCTTTGGGTACATACCCTAGGAGTGGAATTGCTGGGTCATAGGGTAACTCTATGTTTAACCTTTTGATGAATCGCTAGACTTCTCCAAAGTGGCTGTACCATTTTACATTCCCACCAGCAGTGTAATGAGGGTTCTGAATTCTCCCATCCCCGCTAACCCTTGTTATTGTCCATCTTTTTGATTATATCCATCCTAGTGGGTATGAAGTAGTATCGCATTATGGTTTTGATTTGCATTTCCCTGATGGCTAATGATGTTGAGTATCTTTTCATGTGCTTATTGGTCATTTGTCTGTCTTTGGAGGAATGTCTATTCAAATCCCCTGCCCAATTTTTAAATGGGTTGTTTGTCTTTTTATCATGAGCTGAGGCCTTAGGGTGAAAATGAAGTTGCCTTCCAGTGTCATTTCTCTTTCTCTTGCCTCAGTCTTCATCATCTTTTTGGATGTCAGTGTGCAAGACCTTTCAAATCATTCCTTATGGGCAGTCTGTCCCCCGGGCTCTGTATAGAGCTGGCGTGGAGAGGGCTGTGAGGTGCAGAGGAATGAACCGCAGCAGAGGCCAATATTCTTGTTCAACGTCCTCCAAAGACCAGCTGTATGACATTAAACAAGTCACTTTCTCCCTCTCCCCGCAGGTGCCCCAGGCTCTCCATCCCGGTGTCTCAGCCAAACCTATCAAGGCAGCCCTGCACCCGCCAGGCTACCTGGAAACGATGTAGTGTCCTACTCTGATGTCTTTCACGATGCTGCTTTTCACAAGTTATGTTTGGCTTTTCTCCACGTGAGAATGAGGAATCTCAGGACTCCAATGGGAGAATTGCAGACAGTTGACAGGTCAGCCAGCCAGAAAGTGGCAGGCTTCTCTGTGAAGGCCTCCAGTCTGTTTTTAGCAAGCTTTCTTCCCAACTCAAAGGGACAGATACCTGAAGTAACAGGAGATTTCACTGACATCTCTCAGGAGAGAAGAAAACATACGTTTCTCTAGATTTTGTCATGTAGATTTGAAATATAGGAGAGAAAAAAGTTTACCCCTAAAAAAAGTGGGGGAGGGGAGTCAAAGGACACAAAGGTAAATAAACCAGTGTGGTTCCTGTGACCACATCCTGGTATTCTGGATCACAAAGTGTTCTAGGGCCACACAGGCCCCTGCAGCCCCTATAATCCATCCCTGCACAGAAAGGGAGCCCCCGACCTTCACCTCTAGGGTCCTTACTTGCATGTGCTCCTTTCAAGGCCTGAGCTAGTATCTGACCCCAGAGAACCTGGGAGCCCTGTCCTGGGGACCCCTCCCATCCTCTCTCTTAGGGAGGGAAGCCCTAATGCTCTGGAGCTGGTCTCTCAATGCTGCCTCCCCAGAGACAGGAATTCTTCCTGGTATCAGATGTGAAGTCACTTTGGAAGCCATTTAAACCCATTTACAATGTTAAAAGCAACACTGAAGGAGCGCTTAGTGCAGAAATTATGTAAATAACCCCATTCGGTAATCCAAGGGCAGGCAAATTTTAGCCTTTTGTCGGCTGGCAAAATCTTTTCAAGACAACACAGATTGCTGGCTAAGAGAGTATTTTATTTGTTACTTCCGTCCTCCCAATCCGTTTCAGGACTCCCTGGTAACCCGCTTCCCAGAGGCGAGGACTCACGCCAGCCCCTCAGCGCTCCCCTCTGCCATCCTGGGGACAGTGCGCTGGCGTTTCCCAGTCTACGTGCGCAGTTTCTCCACTACACTGGATGGGCACATGATGGCTTTCCTCCTCAAGTCCTTTTCCAAAAATTCAATTTCAAACCTCTCCTTTATTTATTACTGTTTCTCAGTAATAGGATTTACCAATATGGACCTCAAAACATATCTCAATTTAAACACCACAGCGGCGAGAACCCCTAAATACCTGGATTCTACTGCCAGTCGATGCAAGTCATTTCTCTTGCATTTTCTCTATTCTATTTCCAAGATTTTGGATCATCTTTGCTATCATTATTCTGAATTCCTTTTCAGGTAGACTGCCTATTTCCTCTTCATTTGTTAGGTCTGGTGGGATTTTACCTTGCTCCTTCACCTGCTGTGTGTTTTTCTGTCTTCTCATTTTGCTTATCTTACTGTGTTTGGGGTCTCCTTTTCGCAGGCTGCAGGTTCGTAGTTCCCGTTGTTTTTGGTGTCTGTCCCCAGTGGCTCAGGTTGGTTCAGTGGGTTTTGTAGGCTTCCTGGTGGAGGGGGCTAGTGCCTGTGTTCTGGCGGATGAGGCTGGCTCTTGTCTTTCTGGTGGGCAGGTCCACGTCTGGTGGTGTGTTTTGGGGTGTCTGAGGCCTTATTATGATTTTAGACAGCCTCTCTGCTAATGGGTGGGTTTGTGTTCCTGTCTTGCTACTTGCTTGGCATAGGGTGTCCAGCACTGTAGCTTGCTGGTC